AAGAAAACCTTGGGGTGGGGGGGGGGGGGGTGGCACTTGAAGCACTCTGATAGTAAAATGGGATAGGGTGGGAGAGTGAAGAAAAATGAGTTATGCTGAATGGGGAGGTGGGGGAGAGTTGGTACTTTGTAGAAAAATGAGTTATGGAGGGAGAGCTGGTACTATGTAGAGAATTGAGGTAGGGAGGGAGAGCTGGTACTATGTGTAGAGAAACTGAGGGGTAGGAATAAAGAGGGAGAGCTGTGTACATATGTAGACGGTAGAGCTGGCAGGATAGGGAGGCTCATACCATCTGCAGTAATGGGTGTTGACCATGTGGAGATGCTGGTTAGGAGGTAGGGAGGGAGAGCTGGTATTGTGTAGAGAAACGATATCGGAAGGGAGAGCTGGCACTATATGGAGTACAAGGTGAGTTAAAACTGCATTGGGTAAGTGAATAAAGAGGAAGAGCTGATGCTGTGTTGACAATATGACTGGACGGTAGAGCTGGCATTACGGATACAAGAAAGGGCTCATACCATCTGCAGTAATGGGGTAGTTGAAACTAGGGCATTAAGTGGAGATGCTGGTTAGGATGGGGGGGTAGAGTAACTAAACAGCCAGAATAGAGAACTCAGTGTCAACTGTAGAGTACTGAGAGTGAATTGAGTGTCTAAAAGAGTAGAGAGGAACAACAGTTGGTATTGTAAGGACTTAATGGGTATGAAGGGAGCCCCGATAAATTGTGGAATGAAATGATTGTGATGAAGAACTGACACCATTTGAAATAAAAGAATAGGAAAAGGGGACTCAATGCTATATTGACTAAAAGGACAGGAAGAAAGAAGTAACACTGTAAAATACAGGGGCATGTCGACGCTGGTAAGGAAATGGGGGTAGGAAACTTAGCTGCCAGTTTCTCCTGTACTTGTGGTCTTGTAACTTAGCTGCCAGTTCCTCCTGTACTTGTGGTCGTGTAACTTAGCTGCCAGTTCCTCCTGTACTTGTGGTCTTGTAACTTAGCTGCCAGTTCCTCCTGTACTTGTGGTCGTGTAACTTAGCTGCCAGTAACTTACTTGCTGCCTTAGCTGCCAGTTCCTCCTGTACTTGTGGTCTTGTAACTTAGCTGCCAGTTCCTCCTGTACTTGTGGTCTTGTAACTGGATCCAATGCTGTTGTCTGTTGCACCTTTCCATTCTTGATGCTGGCCTGATCAACACAGCTGCTCCAACTGAACCTTTACATTGTTGATGCTTGACTGAACGTCTTGAAAACAGATAAGCAACTTGTTTCGGCTCTAATCCTTTAGACCTTGCTGGTAACATGATGTTATGTGCTTCAACTAATTAGATAGTGCTGTAAGGGCCATCCTTTTAGAAAAATGATTATGGTGTGATATGCCTCAATCCCTCAGATCTTGCTAACGATTTCATTTTACGAGTTAGGTGTTAAATCTAGTATCCCTCAAATCTTGTTGCTTATTTCATCCTTGAGTTGGGTGCTAGATGCTGTAATGAGCTTTAATCCCTCAAATCTTGTTGCTTATTTCATCCCTGAGAACAGGTGCTAGATGCTTCAATATGCTTTAATTCCGCAGTTCTTGTCGCCAATTTCATCCCTGAGAACAGGTGCTAGATGCTGCAATATGCTTTAATCCCCCAGTTCTTGTTGCCAATTTCATCCTTGAGAACAGGTGCTAGATGCTGCAATATGCTTTAATTCCGCAGTTCTTGTTGCCAATTTCATCCCTGAGAACAGGTGCTAGATGCTGTAATATGCCTTAATTCCGCAGTTCTTGTTGCCAATTTCATCCCTGAGAACAGGTGCTAGATGCTGTAATATGCCTTAATTCCGCAGTTCTTGTTGCCAATTTCATCCTCGACAACAGGTGCTAGATGCTGTAATATGCCTTAATTCCGCAGTTCTTGTTGCCAATTTCATCCCTGAGAACAGGTGCTAGATGCTGCAATATGCTTTAATTCCGCAGTTCTTGTTGCCAATTTCATCCCTGAGAACAGGTGCTAGATGCTGTAATATGCCTTAATTCCGCAGTTCTTGTTGCCAATTTCATCCTTGAGAACAGGTGCTAGATGCTGTAAGGCTAGATGCTGTAATATGCCTTAATTCCGCAGTTCTTGTTGCCAATTTCATCCTCGAGAACAGGTGCTAGATGCTGTAATATGCCTTAATTCCGCAGTTCTTGTTGCCAATTTCATCCCTGAGAACAGGTGCTAGATGCTGTAATATGCCTTAATTCCGCAGTTCTTGTTGCCAATTTCATCCCTGAGAACAGGTGCTAGATGCTGTAATATGCCTTAATTCCGCAGTTCTTGTTGCCAATTTCAACCTTAAGAACAGGTGCTAGATGCTGTAATGAGCTTTAATCCCCCAATTCTTGTCACTGATTTCATTCTTGAGAACAGGTGCTAGATGCTGTAATGAGCTTTAATCCCCCAATTCTTGTCACTGATTTCATTCTTGAGAACAGGTGCTAGATGCTGTAATGAGCTTTAATCCCCCAATTCTTGTCACTGATTTCATTCTTGAGAACAGGTGCTAGATGCTGTAATGTGCTTCAATCCCTCAGTTCTTGCCGCCAATTTCATCCTTGAAAGCAGGTGCTAGATACTGTAATGTGCTTCAATCCTTCAGATCTTGCCACTAATTTCATCCTTGAGAGCAGGTGCTAGATACTGTAATGTGCTTCAATCCTTCAGATCTTGCCACTGATTTCAGCCTTGAGAACAGGTGCTAGATGTTGTAATGTGCTTCAATCCTTCAGATCTTGTCACTGATTTCAGCTTTGAGAACAGGTGCTAGATGTTGTAATGTGCTTCAATCCCTCAGATCTTGTCACTGATTTCATCCTTGAGAACAGGTGCTAGATGTTGTAATGTGCTTCAATCCTTCAGATCTTGTCACTGATTTCAGCCTTGAGAACAGGTGCTAGATGTTGTAATGTGCTTCAATCCTTCAGATCTTGTCACTGATTTCAGCCTTGAGAACAGGTGCTAGATGCTGTAATGTGCTTCAATCCTTCAGATCTTGTCACTGATTTCAGCCTTGAGAACAGGTGCTAGATGTTGTAATGTGCTTCAATCCTTCAGATCTTGCCACTGATTTCAGCTTTGAGAACAGGTGCTAGATGCTGTAATGTGCTTCAATCCCTTAGATCTTGTCACTGATTTCAGCCTTGAGAACAGGTGCTAGATGTTGTAATGTGCTTCAATCCCTTAGATCTTGTCACTGATTTCAGCCTTGAGAACAGGTGCTAGATGCTGTAATGTGCTTCAATCCCTTAGATCTTGTCACTAATTTCATCCTTGAGGTTAGGTGCTGAATGCTGATACATGCTTTAATCCCTCAGATCTTGCTGCCAGTTTTAACCCTGAGGACGAGTTAGCAACATGTGATAGGCTCGTCTATCTGATTTTGCTGTACCTATTTCTTCAATCAAAAGAATCTTACTTCAATCAAAAGGACCTTGCTTCAGTGTAGCAATGTGGTATTGTTTCAATCAATAGGACCTTGCTGTATTTATCTCCTTCAATCAATGGTAACAAAATGACATACTTGAATCAATCAGATCTTGTTGCAATAATTTCTTACACTCAGAGATAGCAACATATTATACTCAACCAATCAAATCTTGCCGCAATTTGTTCTTTCAAAGCTGTAATGCACCTGATCCATCTGACTGAGCTGTAATTCCTTTGTTCTATCAGTGTATTTATGACTTGAACTCCAACTCTGCCAAGACAGCTATCAAAAACATGCTGTGCTCCCAAGGAAAAGGTATGTTTCTGTAGGACCACTGTACATAACAACTGCAGACGATTGTGGCTTTAAAATCTTGTCACAATGGCCTTGTATTTGAATTCTAAATGAAGAGACACAAAACTTCAGTAACATAAGTGGCAATCCCAGGACAGGTCACCCTTAAGAGTTATCTTTTGCAGGTCAAAAAGCCAGCGACATGGCAAAAATCTGTTAACAGCCTTGCAATCTCTCTCTCTACAACTGTGCTTCAATCTATTTCCTTCTTTGGATAATGAGTGTGGCATTACATTTTAAATAGACTTGTTAAGTAGGTGTCACCATTGAATTTCAGTGCATTTTCTGTCTTATATCTTGCATTTTCAGAAGAAATTATCCAATTCAATGCTGCAATCAATATCACTTGATTGTAGGATGTTGTCAAAGTTGCCTGGCTGTTTCCTCTGGATCGATGAGTTTATGCAAGAGCATAACATCTGGATAACTACTGGCAAATGAAACCAGCTCAATTCATATATATCCAGTGGATACTGAAGTCAGATTCTCCAATCATGTATGTTAGTTGCGAGGAGAAGCTACTCCCAAATCTCTGTTATATTTAAGAATAAAAAATGATATCTTTACCTATGATTACACAAATGAAAAAAACTAGGCAACCGTGCCCAGATCAGGACGTAACGGAATCTGGAGATGAGATGGCGTGACCTGAATATTTTGCATTAGATTTCTCTCTGCTATAGTTTCTGCAATGAATGTCAGTGTCTCTAAGATCAGGTCACAAATTCTGTAGGCTGCCTAGATTAGCAAAAGCAAAATTCTGAGTATCAAAAATTTATTGAGAATCTAAATGTCACTTTCCGTTTTGCTTTTGCTAATATATATTTTGTGTATTTACAGGGAACACATTTCTGCCGGTGCCACTGATACGATGATGTACTGTCTTTTCAGATCTGCCTATGATGAAAACTTCTATTGTGAACGAGAACATTCTGATGCTCAACACTAGAAACCGACTGCTGACGGCAGAATATCACAGGCAAGCCTCACATATATTATCAGCAAACACATCCAAAGGGGGTGACAGATGATTGGCACTGAAGAAGTGATATTCCTAGTGTTCTTTTCAATATGAGGATGATGCTTCAAGCTGAAGACTCTGTGCACAAATGGACAAGAGACGACGACAACATCTTCAGCTGCTGGTTCTTGAAGGCTTGTGATTCTAATACGTCCAACTAAAAGATACTACAATGCTTGAATAACTGCCATATTGGCTTTACAGTCCACGCTGGAATTGTCAATAATTGTCACCCCCTTTTCTTGCAAGAATTCCACACATTTAGTCCTGTCGGCGAACGCCAGCTCCTTCTGGAAGAACTCTACGGGCAGGGTGGGTCGGTACCTAAGATGTGTGACATACCACGCAACCCGATAAACAAGCAAATACACAAGCAGAACAGACAGGAAGGAAAAATCGATGAACACATCCAATGCCAGCCGATGTAGGGAGTCGCATAAATATAATGAAACAGAGAAAAAATTTACATAATATTAATAACAGCAAAGCAAACATTTCTGAGCAGGCAGTGCTCACAAATAAAACTATCAACATTTCCTATACTATACTAGGCTGCCAATAGGAAACTATAGCTTTCATTTACTATCACTGACCTCTAATGAGTGACTAAGCTCTCATCAAGCAAAATACTATTTAAATTTCTAAAATACTTACGGATGTGCCTGAAAAAGAACTGTCGTTAGTGATACAAAACTAAATTATGCAATTTTACTGAAGTTATTGTAACGTTCTGCTCATAGTAAGTATAAGTAACAAACTCAACTCATGCCAAAGGTTTATTTGGCGATTGACGCTAATCCCTATATTTTAAATACATCAATCACAAGCAGTAGCGTGAAGGGGGTTACCATCATATCAGCCACCTTTACTTCACAGGATATTTTTCAGGCACCCTGAGCCTACGTCTATTTTAGAAAATTCATCAAGATGTGAATTTGAATCCACGTTCTCTGGGCAGGCAGGCTAGAACCACTTCCACACTGACATCTTTCCACAGTATCTCACAGTTTCAGAATTGGCCGCTACCACTTTGTTTTATCTCCAAACCAGCCTTCAGCAAACCCTTTGTAGACTCTGTAGTCAGCTTTCATGACATGCATGGTAGGACAGTGCTACTATTCTTTGCTTCTCTTCTGCACACTGGTAACTTGTGGGCACAATTGCCACTTACAGAGCTCTCAAAAGCCACAAATACTGCAATCTGCCCATACAGCTAGCACAGCATGCCAAATGCCCTTTAAGGCTAACACAGAAGTAGTATATGGGAAGTGATATTCTGCAATCTTTAACTCTTTCAATCCCAGACAGATGTTAAATTAACTTATTCTGTTCTAAGAATCTGATATTTCAAAACTATCTCTAAGAAGATTTAAAAATATATCACGACAGAGAAAAGGAATGAAAGAAACATTTGGGGTAGAATAACTAGCGAACAGCTGGATGGGTACGCAGAGTTAACAGTACACCATGTCAGAAGGAACTAACAGATGCAGGGTGAATTTAGTAATGAAAGAGTTAAGCTCCCCATTTAGGTTGCGGGCCTCCATATCGGGGTAGGGCAGAACGGACTGACCACTCTTTCACAAGTATGTTGTAAATGGTGACTATATAAGAGGGGAAAACGCAGGCGATTTCAAAGAACTAAGAAAACTGCATTAGTCCAAGTAAATATGAACCAGAAGAACTCAGAAGAGTTAACTCAAATCAATACTGATGTGTCGATCAAAAACATGGAAAGTGACTAAAACAATTATTAATAACTAACTAACAACAATTAACTATAGTAGCTGTAAAGAACAAAAAGTAATGAAAATAATATGACAGAATCTCTAATGAAGAAACAACCAATGATGTCTCCTCTTTAAATTCCCTTAATACAGTAGAAGTATTGTGTCTTTGCTCAGATTCTCTCTTTTTCTGTAACCCATGGTGCTATCTCAATGGCTTGATGGGAATTCTGTCCATATTCAATTGTTGTGGATTCATGTGGATCAAAGACCTGCCTGTTGAAAACACCTTTTAGGGAAAGTGTTTGGAATTACAGTAGTTCCTATAGCAAACCTGTCATTATCTGCAGGTGTTAGGTTTGTATCCTGTTTGATTCCTACATCTTTCAAAAGTCATACTGTCCTGTGTTCTATCATCAGATGTTTTCCCTGCTTTTATGAGTGCTTATCAATACCTGTAAATTCATTTCTCAGGTATCAGCAACTGACATTGCTGTTTAAATATTTTCAAACTACAAAAATAAAAATATAATAAATAACTAATTTAAAACAAATACCTGTCATAAATTGTATATACTTACCTGAGTTAAAAAATATTTTAAAATAAAAATATAAATAATGAAACAAAAATAAAACAAACAAAAATAGAGAAAACAAAAATAATAAATACTAAAATCCTTTAAAAAGCTTATACTCAAACTAAATAATAAATTAAAAGTTATTCTTACTACATTAAATACTAACATGCTTAGTGCACTAAAAACTGTCATGTTACTAAGATATACATACGCTTTTATAATGAGTTTCAGCGCACTCTTGCGCACACGATCGATGAACTAGTCCATGAGGTAACCAGACATTTTGGGCGCACTTTGGTACAATTTAAAAAACCTGTGGTAATTATTTAAAGCCCAAGCTATTCGGACTTCAAGTGCATGCCTGATACAATCGTCCTTCCTGTATTCTGGGGACAACGATGCCAGCGCAGTTGTTAGATCTGAAATCACAAACAAGGACAATAGATAAATAATGTGGTAACAGTGAACGACACAACCGATACATCAGTCGATGCATGTGATACATTAATTAATTTGTGTACAATGTTGACTGTTGCATGTTGAATTAAGAACCAACATCACAGCACTCGGGACACCCCCATAAGCACTCCGTCTCTATCTTCAGCCGCAAACAAAGAGTTAAAATTCATATGGTACCAGTAACTGTCTGATTTAGTGAGTGTACAGTGGATATTAACCGTAAATGTGCGTCATTCAATTTTATGTGTAATGCTTTTTTTCATCAAAATGCGTAGTTTGTTGCAGCTATATTAGGAAAATTATTTGTGGGCAGTTGCAACCAAACTGGCAGATGCTGCATACTGTTAGAATGCGTTAAAATAACATTTGCTTGATGTGTACATTGGATATGGTACTGGCTTACGATCAGAACTGGTGTGGTTTGGTGTGCCGCAGCAAATTTCCAGTGAAATGCTCTGTCAATATATGTAGTTCAATGTGGTAGTTATATTCAGGAAATAGTTTGTGGCCAGCTGCCACCAAACTGGCAGTACACTATATGATGTTTGAGTGGTAAGGTTCACATTAATCTCCCCAAATAGAGTAGGTCAGTTCGATGGGCTGGTCGACTTTCCTGAAGGTTACGGGTGTGTCCAGCTCTGTTGTATGTTTTCTGTGATGTCTTGCATTTATGTCTCCATTCCGAGAAAGAGAATGCCTGTGATATAGGTTGCAGCATTCTGTAGGGGGGTTGTGTTAAGACCAGTTTCTCTATTTTGGAGTGTTGAAAGTGCTGGCGTACTGAAGTATACAACACCTGATATCAACGGCATTGCAGGACCACCCCGTAACCTTGTGCTAAAGTGACAGGTTCAGAAACTACCAATCAGAAGTGAGCTAGCGTGTATATGGGGCAGGGCGTGAGGAGATCAATGTTACTTTTACCGTTTGAGTTATTAAAAAAAATACTGTTTGGTTTGAAAAAGTAAAATGGTCCCTGCAATTAATAAATACTAAGTTCTTAAGGGGACAGTAGGCAAAAGAAGAAGAAGATGCAACACTCACCTAAAGTATTTGATGTATAGATATAATATAGAAGTCTGTATGCTTTGAACTCTAGCTGGTTGCCCTTGAGTCCTTCGTGGTATAAAAGCTTCAGCTGGGTCTGGCACTGATTGAACTCCTCGTGGTCTCCCTGGAGATATTTAAAATCAATTACAAAGTGTTCTTCTAGGAAAGGATTTGTATAAGCAAACTCAATAGCCTTAAATTTAATTAACATTCTTTCACATAACTATTCTTCTTCATTGCGTTCGGTTTCGTATGCTCAGATCAGACTATCAGGTGAGTTGCCTCTATGAACTCGCATGTCAGTAGCAGGCCCTTCATGGTTCCCCATAGCTTGCTCTGTACACTTTGGTCATGAGGCCAGGTGTCTTTTCCAAGTTGTAGGTAGAGTGGGCAGGTCTGCAGAATGTGCTCAGGTGTTTGTGGTCCTGTTTGACAAGCACACTGTGGGGACTGTACAATCTTTATTTTATGCATGTGGTAGTTGAGCCTACAGTGTCCTGTTCGTAGACAGAAAATTGTTGTATGTTGCTTTCTGTTGAGTCTGCTGATGGGTTTTTGTGGATGTTTACTGTTTGTATTCTCCACAATTCCTTGTATATTCCCTTAATAAGTGTTCTGATTTCTGGAAATGACAATAGATGGGTGAGTTGTTTCTACTTTGTTCAAGTCTTGTCTGCTAACTCATTTTCTGATATGCTGCAGTGAGCTGGGATCCACTGGAAAAAGATTTAATTTTCTGCAAGTCTGTTTAGCTGGTGGGTCAGTTCTTTCTCCATGTTGTCTCGTGGATACCTCAGTCACTTGGAGGACTGACATGCAGTCACAAAAGGAAAAACAATTTTGCTGTTTTTTTTATTTTTCTTTCCTCGAGCACTTTGGCTGAATCAATAATTGCTTGCTGCTCTGCTCTGAAGTTTGTTTCGGAGGTACGACATTTTTATTATGGTCCCACCTTGCAGCATGATAACCGATCCAGATCCTTCATTTTGTTCTGCTTCCTCCAATGATCCATCGGTGTATACGTGTGTCCATTGGGGTTTTGGATAAAAGTTGTAGTAATTTCAGTTACATATTCATCAGTGTCTCATATCGCCAGTTTATTTAACAGGTAAACAGTATTTGTTTGACATTTTTATGTACTTTTTGCACCTCTATAAATACACACTAGTAAATAAACAGGCACTGCACAACTTGGTGAACTGACGCCTGACAAGCTAAATGTTGTAAGAGCCCTTTAGGATGAGTGAACAGTGCGGAAGCACAGATGGATCACATGCTTGGTTACTAGTTTAAAGATCGTGAGTTCGAATTTGCACAACTTTAAAAAAAAAAAAAAAAAAAAAGAACGCCCTTGGCTGCCAGGTTGACCCAGCATTAAACTGGTACCAGGTAATGTCACGAGACAGTATAAAGTCATCTACAGAGTATGAATATGTCTATAAAAAAAATATGTCTAGCACCATATATCCAGTGTGCTCCTGTAATGAAACAGGTCCTTTTTATTTTACTTGCTAAATAGATACACATATTTTCTGATTGTTCATTCTCTGACACCCAGACAAAACACACATTTTCTGTTTGTTCATTCTCTGACACCCAGACATTACACATATTTTCTGTTTGTTCATTCTCTGACACCCAGACATAACTCACATTTTCTGTCTGTTCATTCTCTGACACCCAGACAAAACACACATTTTCTGTTTGTTCATTTTCTGACACCCAGACATTACACACATTTTCTGTTTGTTCATTCTCTGACACCCAGACATAACACACATTTTCTGTTGTTCATTCTGACACCCAGACATAACACACATTTCTGTTGTTCATTCTCTGACACCCAGACATAACACACATTTTCTGTTGTTCATTCTCTGACACCCAGACATAACACACATTTTCTGTTTGTTCATTTTCTGACACCCAGACATTACACACATTTTCTGTTTGTTCATTCTGACACCCAGACATAACACACATTTCTGTTGTTCATTCTCTGACACCCAGACATAACACACATTTCTGTTGTTCATTCTCTGACACCCAGACATAACACACATTTCTGTTGTTCATTCTCTGACACCCAGACATAACACACATTTCTGTTGTTCATCCTCTGACACCCAGACATACCTTCTCCATGGCTATTCTTGCATGTGTCTCATACACTCGAACTGTGAAGTTATCCCTGATGCCCTGAACCTGAAGAGCACAAAACATACACATTTTATGGATGGCCGTAGAGTGAATGTTTGCCTGCCAGACCTGAAGACCTTAGAATCAAATCCTCATTGTGGTGGATTTTTATAACTGTCAAAAGGTTCCTAGATAACCCAAAGTGCAGCCGGATGTACCTTCACATACCACCAAAAGAAAAGAATCATTAAATTGATCAGGAAACCACCAGCCCCAGCACAAGACAACTATTTTATTATGGACAGATCAGAAAAGGTCATTATCCTCCGCCTCAGAACAGGGCAAAACCGATTACGTAACCACATGTACACAAAATTCAAGATAGGCGTATCAGCCATGTGCACCTGTGGAAAGGTGCCCCAGACAGGAGAGCATGTACTTCAAGACTGCACCGAATTTGACACATTAAGGCAAACCTTTTGGCCAGAAAGAACAACAGTGTAACGTAAACTCTATGGACCCCTGAATGAACTAACAATGACAGTGAAATTTATACAAGAGACAAAATTGCTGATATAGACAACTTAGTTCAGGCAAACGAAAGAAGAAGAGAAGAACCCAACCCTAAACAGCTATCTTGAAGGTAAGGGTACTTAATGAAACTTTCAGGTGCTGATTCAAATAAATGCCTAAATATAAAATTATGCACAATTGAAAGCTTGGGGAAAGGAGGTAATTTACCTATGTGCTTCAAGACATAGAAAACAGATCCTTAGCCTTAAAGGAAATGATTTGTCTCCACAATTTTGTAAAGTTTATCTCATCTACACAATATTTTTTAAAATACCTAAGCATTATGTAAATATATCTAATAGGTCAACGGTGTGAAAAATTCATATTTTAAATATAGAAATTACACTTGCAGGGTAACTGCAAGGCACATAATAATGGTACAGAACTGCACTACAGTTCACGATAATGTACAAAAAGTGTGTAAGTGTGCCACACAGATTTTTTTTTTTTAAACTGCAGTCCCTGCAACTGATGTTAGCTGCAGTATGGTGCATCAACAGCTGCCTTGGGAAATATTATGTGCTGAGATCCCAGTCTCTTCCACAGTATGACTCGCACCAATGCCTGAAAGCCAATAGAACAGTCTTTTTCCAAACTGCCTGCCATGGAAATCAAACATGGGCACATTGAGACTTGTTTAACACAGTCAGTAATCTCTAAGTCATAGAGCTGCACCAAATAACTACTTGTAAATATCTCTGATGTGAATATAAAAAAAAAAAGCTTACTGTGAGGTCCTGCCTAATTGACTTGAGCTGTTCACAGGCATAACGATAATCAAGATTAGTCTGCCATTTCTGCTGTACACTGGCCAGTGATTTTTTAAGTATTGCCAAGGGTCGTATCTGCTTTGGGTCTGGCGCCTGCAAATAAAAGACACGTTTAGCAATCTGTTATTCTATGGAAATATATATACAGTTCTAATGTACTTAATATACTTGTTATTTCATCATCCTTTTGTGTCATTAAATATCACATGGGGTTTGTAGTCTATACATCCATTCTTGTTCTATCCTGTGCAATATTTTCAGTATTATGAATGGAATCCAGTCCAGCACCTTTGGCCTTCTTTTCAACATTCATTTAAGGGTTTCTTTTGAGTGTCCTTTTTTCATCAGTCCATTTGATCGCCATTTCAAAGCGCTTGGTGATTTTCTTTCCCTTTCTCCTTATGATGTGCTCAATATAGTGCCACCTTCTAGTCTTATAACTAAGGTACAAGCAGATGTGTAGATATTTCTTGCCTTTCTTGAATTGATCCTTTTTAAAGTTTATTAATTTTCTTAGGTATTTTATCTTCTTTTTCATTCCACCAAAGGTGTAATTACAGTGTGCCTATTTACAATATGGCTACTATATTTGTGCCTTTTGGTCAATACATCTGACTACTTCAGGCATTTATTAACTAGGTTAGCCTTCTTAGAGTCTTTTATAAGCATGCATGTTTACAAACTATTATACATGTTCACATTTTTGTTTCAAAGAATAACATTGGTTTGATTATACACGTCAACTATACAACCTGATGGAAGTTTATAATTTATATCAGTTACATGTTCACCAATTCAAGATTTCACTGCACACCCTTTAACCACTGTAGTGTTTCTCTTTCGTTTACAATGTAATTCTCATTTCATTCATTCAAAATCCTGTGCCATTATATGCCAAACATTCATGGTCAATTTCTCCATTCTGGTCTTCTTCTTTCTTCAACCATCTATGGTCATGCGCATAATGATATGTGGGCCATAAACTGGGATATTATCTCACGGTCTCTTAGATTTCCCCAAAGCTCAGTTGTCAGGTCTTCTGGGTGTTACCACGTGTTGCTTCGCAGCTCCGCCAGGAGAGGACAGTCTTGCTGTTCAACAAGAAGACACCGGCAGAGAGCAGCTTGGCTCATACCTAATTTATATGAGTGTTTGCTGAGTCTGCAGTGTCCAGTGTGTTAGCAAAAAACGGTGACTTTGTCTGTTCTGTCCAGGTATTTGAGGAATTTTTTTTTTTTTACTTATAACCTGTGTTTGTTTTCCATTCTGCTCTATCCAATTTGTTTTCAATACAGTAAGGCAGCTCTCTTCTCTTGCAATAACATTTAGTGCATGGTTTCTCTTGAATATCCTCATTTCCTCAAGCCATTATTTTCAGAAGCGATCAAGTATTTATTTTAAGCAAATATTTTAAATGGATTTTCAAACAGTCAATATGTCCACTGAAACGGATGTGCATACAGTCAATGTTATTATAAACATGTTTGAGAAAAAACATTAAAACAAAACTTACCCCAGTCAGACGCAAATAAGGTTTTTCTAGATCATGGCAAGTACCAACAACTGTGAACTCTTCTAAATCAATTTCATCCTCTCTGGAATTCTAAAGAGAAAAAAAAAACAGTAAACAAACTACAAGCTCTTCATATATATTTATACATAAATTAAAAATACTAATAAT